CTTTTCCTTAATATTTGTAGTTAATTTATTCATTCAGATAATAGGTGGGTTCATTGAAGAGAATTAAATTTCTAAGCCCAAGGAAAGTCCTATTATTGATTCTTTGTTCTTTTCTAAGCAGTTTGAAGAGAAATGTATCTCTGTTACTGCTATAAGTTCTTTACAACTTTTGCATTTGTTATACCGTCAAATGTTGTTATTAATAAGACGTAGTTTAATTCATCTATTTGTCTGATATCTTTGGATATCTCTTTTCACATGTTTCCATACTAAATTTTGTATTGGAATTTTATTTTGACTTGTCTAAACCAGTAAATACGTTGTGTTATATGGTTTAGTGAGTGAATGAATGAAAATTCATTCTGTTAAACTCTGGTTCTCTCTTTTTACTGAATTTGTGTTCATTCTGCAGGTTATTGCGAGGAGGTTATTGGAATCAAAACAGACTACACCACATTTGTATTTATCTTCTGGTATGAACTTTATATATTTATATACTGATTTTAGCATCATTTAACTTTTGATCTTAAAGGTATTATTGTGTTCTTTAGATGTTAGACTGGATCCTCTTCTTTCGTTTAGGAACGAGCTTAAAGGTATGGAATAAATTCCTGTATCATCAATTTGATCTTTCACACCTGTAGTTTTACCGACTGCTCATTGTTCTATTCTTTCTCCATTTGCAGAGAAGCATGATATTAAAGTTTCAGTTAATGACATCGTCATAGAAGCAGTGGCAATTGCTTTGAAAAATGTACCAGAAGCTAATGGTAAGACATAATTTCAATAAAACTGGTCCTTGTAGATTTCTGAGTAAACATGGTATAGGAGCCAAGCCAACACAATTGGCTATTGAGCTTGACCAATTGTAAAATGTAGTAAAGATTGCTAGAAATGTGGGGTGATATTTATCTCTAGGACCAGATTCCACTCTGTTATGCTGATGTAAAACATTGGGAATGACATACATTTTTTAAACTGATGCAAGCTCAAAAATGCTTTTATTAGTATTTTTGCATCTCTAGCAAAACTAGATTAATATTTTGAGTTTTTTATTCTTTTCTACCTTTATTTATTTCTTTTGCGTTGATTCATTGTCTGGATTCTTAGTGTGTGGGGGGGCGGGGGGGACCCTTTCCCATTCCTTTACCAACCCTACTTGCCTTTTCATATGCTCAAACCACAACTTCAACCTTCCTTAATGAAGGAAATGCCATAAGATTGTGTGGTCATTTTATTTCTTATACCTTAGTAGTTCAACAACTAATTTGTAGTTGCTGATCTATAAATGGATTTCAGCTTAATCTGAAAAGAGAGTTCTGGAGAGTATTAATGTTGTATAAAATATTTATTCACTTTGATAGAATCTAAAGCTGAGTATTTACATTATTACCAGGTGGGTCTATGAACCTCCTCTAACGTCCAAACAGGAAAGGTCTTATCTTGTCTTGTGTTGATAACATATGGTTGCATCGAAGAGTTTCAAACAGGAAGGGCACTTAGACTGCTAATTTATCATGCATTTGTGTCGAGTGTACCCACTGTGTATAAGAAATTTCCAGCATCAGCTTATCAGTAATAAGTGCTGTTTTATAAAGTGGAAAATAATTACATAATTCCTTTTTCTTCGATTACAATTTGGCTTTCATACAAAAATTTTGGCTCTTTTGGCTTATTTCTAATAAAAAATTTGCTATTTCAATGACTGCAGCTTATTGGGATGTTGAGAAAGGGGAAATAATTTTGTGTGATTCTGTTGACATATCAATTGCAGTTGCTGCTGAGAAGGTATGCTTCCAATAAGATGTTGTTCTCGGGTTCTATAGAGCAACGGGTTTCATATTATTTTATTTGGATTGCAGGGTTTAATGATTCCAATTGTAAGAAATGCTGATCAGAAATCCATTTCATCAATCTCCTCAGAGGTACTTTCATCTTTGACCTCTACCCTTTTTTGATTTTAACAACTTTGTTTGGCTTCACTACTCTGTAGTGTAAGTGACACGACCGCGGTCTTAAGCCTAGCAACCTCACGTCGGACATAGCATAAGCTTGAGCTTTCTCAATTTTGGTTACTTTACACCAGATCATTTGGTTTATTGCCTATGTACTCTCCCTTTTAAGCTTGTTTAAATCTAGGGAAATAACAGAACACAAACTGCCTTTTGTCTGGCTCTTTAAATATGTTAACTAATCAAAACCTCAGTATGATAGTCAGTAAGTTCAGAATTACATGTTTTACCATTCTTTGGGTCTGTTTCTTTTCGGTTAATGTTTTAATAATCATTAATCTGCATTCTCTCTTTGGTTTTATCATGCTTATTTCTCTTTAACTTGACCTTCAGGTCAAGCAACTAGCTGAAAAGGCACGGACTGGGAAGCTTTTACCAAATGAATTTCGAGGAGGAACATTCAGGTATTATGATATACATATGGGATATTAGTTCTCCATCACTACCTTTTTAATAGTTGAAAGAGATATTGGGAAATTATTTGTAATTTTTCTGCAGTATCTCAAATCTGGGAATGTTTCCTGTCCACCATTTTTCAGCAATTATAAATCCCCCAGAGGTGCTCTCGTTCTCTCTCTCCAACGCACAAACACTTGTTTGTACTGAACAAACATTAATGTAGCTTCAGCTTCAGCTTCGCCCATCCTTGACTTTAGTTGTGAATAATATGTTGCGTTCAGGCCTCAAAAGTTAAAAGTAGCTGGTCTAATGCCACTTTTTTTTACAAAGTTAAAGCAATAAATGTGAAAATGCATAGTTCTGGGTTTTCTATTTATTGATAATATTCACTTTGAAAACAGTGGAGAACCACTCTTATATCGTTTGTCTCTAGACTTGCACCTGAAGGCAATATTGAGAATGCTGCTATTAGAAAGTGATCAGGACATTGTTAGCTGCTATAATCTCTCCTATATTTTTGGCAGGTTGGTATCCTTCTTGTCGGTAGAGGAAACAAATTTGTTGAATCAATAGTTGGAAATGATGGTAAACTGTTTACCCCTTATGCACTATGCTTCCATATGCTTTATGTTTTAAAGTATTTTGCATTTCATATATTGAATTCCTGCACACGGATTGAGAGGCCTGCAGTTGTGACAAAAATGAACTTGACATTATCTGTTGATCATCGTGTATTTGACGGCAAAGTTGGAGGTATGCAGTGAAGCAAGTCTTTGTAATTGCAGCTCTAAATATGAAGCTTTTGACAGATGGTGGATAGGCCCTAACATCAAAATAATTTGCATGACCTACAATTATATTGCTCTGTGAAAGATATTGTTATGTAAACTGCAGAAGTAGAAGACATGGGGGTTTCATTCCTCCCATGTCGAGCATCCGGGTAATAATATCACAAATAAGTTCCTGAAAAATCCCGGAGGTACTGCTAGAAGTAAAGGCATAACTGAACTGGCTCCCATTTTGGTTAATCAAAGTATCTAACAAATTCTTCCTGGTTTTAAAAAATCTATGATCTTTAGTACTGCTGGCTTGATTGCTGTAGTTATACCTTTCACCGTATGTACTTCAGTATATGATACCGGCCTGAGATTTGAACTATTTTTATTGCAGGTGCATTTTTTTCAATATGACAATCTAACTTCTTCTCTGATAACATTTAGTCCTTCAAATTCCGAGAGATCAGTTGTTGCTGACGCTTTCTCTCAAAGATTGTTAATAATTCTTCAAAATGATCATGTTTTGTTCCTGAATTTCCATAGCAGCGGCGAATTTGTTGTGCAATCCTGGTCACCAAAATTGTCTATTCATTGGACTGGTTCAAAATGAGAACCGAATTGTTGATGTAAAATGTTGCATGTTGTTAGGTTGCCATTGTCATCTAATTTTGCTACCTTCTTCAGGGCTTATTCTGCAATTAATTCATGTTTCCATCCGATGAAAAATAATGAGATCGTTGGAAAAATACAAAATAGTCAAATCTATAATGACTTTTTTCTCGTGCATACATTTCCTCTTTTTTTGAGGGGGTTTTATAATTAGAAAGAAACATATGAAAATGTAACTTTTTAAAAAAAAATTTGTCGAGTAAAACTACGCGTCAACTAACGAGGCCTTGTCACATGTCAACAAGTGAGACCATATCTTGAAAAAAAAAAAGTGGAGGCAAAAATTATTAGAGAATTTTTTTTTAATTTGTGAGAATTAAATAAAAAGTATAAATTTTTTGATAATTTTTTAAAATTATTTAAAAGGTTGAAAAATTAATTTAAGAAAAATTATTTGACACTATAACTTTCAATATATTTGATAGTTTCTCCCAATTTAATAGAAAATTTACCTATTTTTATAATTTTATCAAAATCACAAAAAAAAAACTAAAATAATTGTTAAAGTTTAACATAAAAATTACATTAAAATCCCTAAAAACCTATTAATCTGCAACATTTTTTTTCTAATTTTTGACCTCAACTGTTTTTTAGTATATCAACATAAAGAAATGAAATCTTGCCATATATCAACATCTGAGATTATGTCTTTAGGTTTCATAAATATATAAAGATACATATACATAAATATATATTAATAGAAAATAAAACGCATATTTTTTTTTTTTTTCTCATTGTTACACATATGTTTTATTAGTACATCGCTTGACATACCCTAATGGCACATGATTAATAGTATTTATCACATTCAAGTAATATAAAAATATATTTTTTGAGAAAAGATCAATTTATACTAGTGTAAAAAAAGGTTTTACATTTTTTTATCTATTGATTTTAATAGATATAAGGATAAAACAAACAAATTAAAAAGAGAAAAAATAGTTTAATATCATCTTTTTGATCTATTGAAATTAATTATTAAAAAAATGTAAAATTTTTAGTCTTATACGAGTTATGGTTGATATCTCTCTACATTCTTTGTATTGAAAAAAAAAAAGGAAATTTGAACTTAATTTTTTAAATATGAGATTCTATCATCAATTCAAATGCTCAATAAAAAAATAAAAAAATAAAAAAATGCCTTATTGAATTGGAATGGATATAAGAATAGATGAAAAATACAATCCAAGTTTAATAACAAATATTATCATTTGGTCACCCATTGAGGACCGTAATAACATTCATTTATTTCCTACAACAACATTCTAATATATTTAACACTTTTACAGCCAAAAAGTGTTAAAAAAAAAAATACTCCCTCGATATAACATCTAAAACAATTTCCATATTCTTATTATATGGGAATGGGCTTAAGGATGGATGAAACAATACAATCTTTAGTCACTCCAGTGGACGTACCGACTCCATCTCCATGCTGGTACATGCATTGTGCAGTTCTAGCCATGTTCTTTGATAAGTTCACAATAATTTGAGGGAAAGATTTGTCAACTATTTCCTCATTGATCTTCTTCCATGAATAGCTTATCATGTTTTTCACATGATCTCGTGCTTCTTCTTCTGACACTCCTTTTTCAATCATGTAACTCTGCACTGCTTTTGGTATGTCCCCTCTCTCCATCTCAGCCTTCAAAATAAAAAAATAAACATATAGCATATATGATTTAACAGAAAACAGCCTTTTACTGATGCAAAATTGTCACAAAAAACTATAATCGAATTTACCAATTAAAAATTCCGTTAATATCAGATTAGTCTGTAATTAAATTTTATTGATAAATAAAATATCCATCGGTAATTATCGATAAAATTGTTCGTCCGTGACTTTAACCGTGATAATTTAAACCAAAAATATGAAATAGTGGTTAGGTAACTTTTTTCTTTTTATTAAGTCAAATGCTCATGTGCTTGAAGGATTAAGAATTATACTAAATCAAAATATTGTGAAACTTTTTTACATCAGGCTACATGCATATGATAATACCTTGGAGGTACCCAGATCATCGCTGAGTCGAGTAATGAGGGATGACCAGTAAAATAATTGAGAAAAGTCATCGAGACAATGTGGAAATTGATCAACCATGGAGTTTGCCTCTACAAAACAAAGAAGAACCAATCCTCCAAGACTTCCAATTGATATCCATCCATTTTTTATATATTCATCAAAAGTTGGAGTGTGACCTCCATAAAACCATCTGGCCTCTGTGATATGTGCTCTGCATAGTATAGTCCACTGCAATTTGCAAATAACAACAAAATATAGATTACGGAGAATTTTCTGTTGTTAACTTATAGGCTATCAATTTTACCTGTTCCTTGATGTAGGGCAGAACATTCAGGCCATGACTTTTCAAGGTGTCGTGGGCTAATTCATTAGTGAAGTTGGACATGGCCGAGAACATTACTCTCATGTACTCTGGAAGTTCTTCGACGGCCTTCATATCCCACCTGTTGAAAACCAGACAATCAAGTACCCAATTTTTGCTGCAATTGGGATATAACCACAATTTTGGGGATGTAAGTGAACTAAATATAAATGAATTTTGCTATATTCGTAATCTGATTAATTAATAAATTATAAAACATTATTTGTGATAGTTTGTTAAGCTTAATAAATGAATTGAAATAGAATCCATTTATGAACTATTCGTAGAACATTTCATCAATTTTGACAAACAAATTGAATAAGAATGAATGTTGTTATATCCTTGATTCATAAAATGTTGTTCATGATTATTTGTTAAGCTTAATAAATTAATAAATAAAAATAAAAAATGTTCATGAACTGTTGATCAAATATTCTGTTTATCTACACCACACATAGCAACTAAAAAAATGGAATTTAAAGAATAAAATACCCGATCACTGCATTTGTGAAACTTTCAAGTTCATCAAGAGATCCATATATGTCATAAATGTCATCAACTACTGTTGCTAGGCATGCATATTTGGTGGCGCATATCCTGCATTTGGCATATCGGGGCTCAAAGCTTAACCCTGTAGCCCAGAAATATATTTCCATCAATCGATCTCGGCTGAAACTAAGCTTCTCCTTGAAGTTCAATTCCCTCCACCAGCTGTTTCCGTCAATTATAAACTAAGCTTAACCCTGTGTCTTAATTTATGTTACAATTTAAATGAAAGCTAGAAAAGTGATTCAAAATTAATTTTCTTTAATTTTAAACCGTAGATTAATTATAATATAAGAAAACCGGCTTTCAAAGACGAAAAATCATCAAGGAAAATTTTCTGTTACTAAAATTATCATTATCAACGATATTTCCGTAAATCAGATTTCTGTCTTTACCAACAGAAAAGTGACTCAAAATTAATTTTCTTTAATTTGAAACCATAGATTAAGTCTTACTCTGCTAGTTCTTTCAGCTCTTTCTGGTAAGCTGATTGGGTAAGATTGTAGTCTAACTTGGCCAACTCAAGCAAAACTGAGCGGTGTGTATCATCCCTCTGGTAGGAGTCAATGAAGTTTCGTGCTTCAATCCTTTCCATCCTCCAATAAAGTGGAACCTCCAGCGACTGTTGAACATGCTTAGCCTTAACTTCGTCAAGTTTCCCTAGTAAAGCCTTGAGACTTTCACTGGTGAATCCCTTTGCTTCTTCAAGAAAATTTTCCCCTTTTACTCCCAAGAATGAAGCTTCTTCCAAGCTCAAAAGCCCTTCAACATCCCCACTTAAGCTATCCATGAATTTCCCATCTCCACCTTTGAATTTCTGGAAAACTTCTGTTTTCACCATAATAAAATATAGAAATGATTCAGGCCCTCAAAAGCAGTGACAGATCTAGAAGTTTTAACTCTAATGGAGCTTAACTCAAATATATTAAATTAAAAAAAAAAATAATAACAACAGATAATAATAAAAATACTAAAACTTTCGTATCCAGTAATAATTATTAAAAATTTTATAATTATCATTTCATATTTTGAAAATGTTACATAATAATTTTGTTATAAATACTTTGGAAGGTATTTTTTTCAATGCACATAACTAAACTATTATTCAACTATTAATCCCTCATTTAATTATCAAAACGAGTTTTTAAAATATTTATTATTAAAAATGTTATGCCTTCTTTGACAATAACAACAGATAAAATTAATATTAATCTTAACAATAAATAAACCAATAAATATAAAATTTCAAAAAGTTTTTGGCATCAGCAGGAGCTTGATTCCCCACCGGGCCTTTAATTCCGCCTATGCTCGAAAGAAGCAAAGAGGTTGGAATTTCGACGCTTAATTGTGCAAAATAGAAGGTAACTGATCACCTGCACTAACTGGATAACCATGCTCTCGTAGAAGTCGAAAATGCAACGCAGCAATGGAAAGGTCGTTGGAGACATTCTGATCAACATGAAATTGATTCAAAGCTTCTTCAATCTGTTTCTCAAAATGGTAGGCCACTCCAAGCCTCTGCAACGAGTCAATTAGCTTTAACAAGGCAGCAGTGTCTTTGGTTGAGGCAAACAAATGTCCAGCTTTTTGTTTCAGCTCTTTCAATTCAGTAGCGTGGAATTCATACTATAAGACAACAAAAACAAATATGGTTAACTAAACTTTTTTTTTTTTTTTTGAGGTGATGAGATTCAGAATTTACTCTTTGAATAGAAAAATTATACACAAATCAACTGAGTCAAATGATAAAATACGTTATAATAATGGTATGCTGAAATACATTACAGTGGTATATTCCACTGGCAAAGAATATTAATTAATTTCTTTTTCCCAAGCTGATGTACTAGCTAGGGCCAGGAAGTATTACTTGTATAGGATAGATTATTAATAACCACTTACAAAGTTAATGTCAAATAAGTAAATCAATGCTCCATTTGCATTTTGGGATATTTGAAGCTCCTAGTTTCGAGTGTCCTTCATAACTTTTTTTTTTTTTGGATGTAAATTATAAAATTCAAGCATTGCAAAATTTGATTGTTCTACACCAACTATTTATTATAAAAAATAAATATTTTAAAAATTATATATTTTATCTCGCCAATGCTATTTGTGATTAGTCAAATATATAATCGACAAGCCAAATAAAATAACATTACTACTCATTCTCCATTTTTTAATTCAAACTAATGATACTCACAAAATTTAATTTAATTGGTGAGAAAGATAAGTTCCTTTTCCTTATCATGAACGGAATTCAACACTTAGAATTCAATAATTATGAAGAACACTTTAAAAGTATAATCATGAATGCACCAAACTATGCACAATATATACATTTATCATAACCATTTTCTTTTCATAAAACATGGCAACAAATTGAAAAATATTAGATATGGACAATGGAAGCACCACTGCACCATATATAAAACATAGTAAAAAGGAAAAAGAAAAATTCTCTAGCAATGCACTTACCGTGTAAGGAGTGGTAAAGGATTTTATAAGAGAAGGGTCCCAAATACTTGGATGATAATTTGCTGAGCGACGTTGCTCCTCTTTCAAAGAAATGGGTTTTGGGTGAGAAAAGGATTGGGATGTTGGTTCCATTTGGAATTAATACTCTAATTTCTTCTCTTGAATATAAGTTGAGAATGGCTACGAAACATATCTGAATTTCGACACCCTTATATAGAGAGAGTAATGCAGAGATAAGATAACAATCAGAGTTGCATTAAATAATTGGGCTGCATAATAATTGAGTTGTGTGCATGCATGAATCCGACAGACTTGTTGGCTCATAAATATATTGTTGATGATGTCAACGATAATAATTTAATTGAAAATCATCCACTTGTCCTCAAAAAATTAATAGTGTTATCTGTTCAATTCTAGGCGCCTATAACGCACAACGGTACCAGTCAAAGCTAAATAACTTATTGTGATATTCAATATATATGAGCTATGTTGAAATTAATAAATTAAGTTTCTATGAAAATGGACAAACTAACAAATGAAGTGTCAACTACCATGTGTGGTCTGTTAGTATAGTATTAAATTTTTTATTTTAATTTTCAAAGTTTAATTTTTGATAGTTTTAAATATAAAAGAAAAAGAAATATTGGGAAGAAATTAAACATATTAAAGCATTGAAATACTATGTAAAAAAAATTACAGTTTACTTTGACAAAAAATATTTTTAATTAAATCGTTAATTTTATGATTTTCACATATCGATTTATAGGATTCTTATATTTCCATTTAGTAATTTTTTATATATTAATTTTCTTAATTGTGGCTTTATTGACATGTAATAACCTTATAAATCTGTTTGTGGAGTTAAATATTTCAACAGTAGCATATATATGTATATGTATAAGATATATTTTCTTTTCATTTTTTGGTATGAAGTGAGAACATTAAGACAAAAATATGGAATTAAACTTCCCTAGTAATGAAATTTTATGGGATCAAAGTCAAATTTGGTATTATATTATTGGTTAATATTGATTTTTGTCATTATAATTGAATTTTATTAAATATTTATCTATATCTGTATATATACTTTTAATTTCATTATTTTTGGACAAAAATTAATGTGTCGAAATTGAAATATTTCACGAATTATTCTTTAATGCAAGTAAATATATATTTTTTTATCATTTCTAGAACAAAATTAATATTGGTTATAGGGATGAGAATGAGACTGATTCTTTGGCTATTTTTATAGAAAGGATAATTTCATTAATTAAGAATTTCAGAATTTGGTTGTAAGAGAAAGAGATTAATCGGGAAAGAATTAACTCTATTCCTTTTACAGAAAATGAATCACAGTATAATAATTTATGAATTTATTTTATTGAAAATATAATTAAAGGATAAATTGAACCCACTTAAAAAATAATTTGAGAATCAATATACAATTTAGTAAAAATGTTTGGAGTCAATAATATAGTTCGTGAATATTGGAGATCATGTTGATATTTGTTCGAAAATAGCTAGCTGGTGCCAAGTAAAATATTATTATTTATTCACTAATTTTTAATTTTAAAATTATTTTTTATTGTTCTAATTTTGATTTTAAGTATACACATAATTTTTTCAACAATGAAAATAATAAAAAATTTGTTACTTAAATCGATAAAAGATGGCTCAAGTCAAAAAACGATTGGAGATAACTAATTCGGTAAATAATTGTTTGATTGCATATGTCAAAAAATTTTATTTGATATATTAATGATGGAAATTGTACAACATTTTTTAAAATAAAAAAAATGTTCATGACAATTTTTTTTATATTCTTTATATTAGAGATAGAATTTTCAAACTCTACAAGCATTGCATGGATGTTATATATTTATTTAATAATTTATTTATTTATTATTTTTAAATATATTTTAACATATATAATTGTGTTATTTGCTTGTGAAATTTAAAATCTCACTGCCATTGTATTTGATAGTTATCTTCTTCTTGTTCCAATTTACGTTTAATTTTTTTAATGACGTTAAATTTTATATTCATATCTTTTTGTATTTTAAAAAGTAATACTCCTTCAATCCCATTTTAATTTTTTTTGTATTTTTTACTTTTATAAAAAATAAGAAAAATAAAACTTTGACTTTTGCGTATTAATTACAACAAAATTTTAATTTTTTTAATAAAATTCATGTTCTATGATTTCTTATATAAAAACTGAAAAATAATTTTGAAATTTTAATATGAAACATAATAATAAAAAAAAAGAATTATTCGGTGATTGAAAAAAGTAAAATATATTAAGTGTTTAAAAGATGAAAAAAAATATAATTTTAAAAATTTACAACAAAAAGAAATAGACAAAGAAAAGAATGAAAAAGCATGATATAATGTTTTGATCCCACTAAATAAATTTTCTAGCTGCATTACTTATTGTAGGTATTAAAATTTAAATTCTAAATATACTAAATGTTATCCTTTTAAAAATAATTATTTGAATTAATTTAATTAAATTTTTGTTCAAACTGAATAATTTTCTTAACGTAAAAAGGACCTAATATGTGTCATATCTTGAAACAAAAATCAAACTTGTAACCCAAATTACACTCAAACTTGTTTTTTGAAAATATTCCTGACCAATTGATAGTGATTTCCTCAAATTTACTTATTTGTTAAATTAAACGCCAAAGTTGAACCTACGTGATTGTTGAAATGCAACCGGAGTTCTAGCGGATAAGGCCGGGGTTGAGTCTAATTATCTAACAGAAGCAACTTGAATTCTTTTAGGTTAAGATTTACCATAAAAAATATATTTATATTTTAAAATTAAAATTTGACTAAAATCTATTATTTATTAATATAAAATCTCTTTGTTTTAGATTCGAGTCCAAAAAATTATATTCAGAAAAATCATGTCTTGGGCCCGAATAGAATGATAAAGTTGAACCTTATCTCTTAATTAAATCTTAGTGAATTACATATAAGCATAAAAATTGAGCTTGGTCTTTGAACTTTTTTTTTTTATTTCATAAATTTTATATTGTATATCTTAAAATTAAAGCTTGAAACTATGAATATGAAAATTTAAATTTATTGTAAATTCTGAAGGAGTAAAGTCAACCTTTGATGAGGAAGAATAAAAGATTTTGAATGAAATTGAGCACGAATGTCTAACAATGAATTTGATGTGTTTGTCAACGGTCAGATTTGGCCGAAGTCTCGATTGCTCTGGCTGATCTCCAATTCCTAATTCAATAATGTCAACATTCTAAATACAGCCTTGGCCCACCCCCATCATCCAAATGTTGACGCAACTGGGTCATTAGTTGTCCAAACAAAAAGGAAGACAAATCTAGATAACCTTGTTATTATATTCAATTTAAAATGTAAATCAAATTGCATAACTCGTAGCAGACAAAACCTTATTATTATGTTAATAGCAAGGAAAGGGACGCGGAACCTTTATGTTCTAGGTTTGAATCATATATGTATATATTAATTAATTTGGTCAAATTTTATATTAGATGATTGGTTTTTTTTTATTAATATTTTTTATAAAATAATTTTGCCTCTAAATTCATCTCAAATTTGACTGGGCTGATAGATAAGTGTTTCCTCCATAAATTCTTGTAAATTTATATGTACTTCTCTTTTGAGATCGAACCTAATTAAATTTGATCAAAATCACATCTACACACGATCTATAAATACATTTGCTAGCTATTAGAAACTTTTAATAACTTACTTTGTCTTAGACCAAATTAAATATTAGAGGAAGCCAAGTGGGTGGGTCGATGCATGTTTAGGATTGAGTTGTTTGAAATTTTTAGAAGATCACATTGGATCAAGTTAATTGTTATAGCCTAAATTAGTATTATTATATTTTGATTATGTGATATATCCACGTTAGTTGCTGTATCACGTGATTATGTTCATGTAGTAATAAAAAATTAAAACTTTTTTGCATTATTATCACATGATAAAATAGCTGACAGGAACATGTCACCCGAGGGATTTGTTATCTTCCCGCAGTTAAACGGTCAAAATAATAATATTAAAAATTTTTAGCGACCAAAATATTATTTTTCATAGTTGGCTAATTTAGATAAAATATTTTTTAAAAATTAGATGACCAAAAAAGGAATTTTTATAAAATCATTTAATAAATTAGCCATTAAATTATAAGAATTGGGAAACAGACCCGTCCAATTGACTAATAAATTTAGCAAAATGCAATCAAGGGGCAGGGTTTAAAAACAACAAAATCCTCACTTTGATTTTATCCTGGATAATGAATTGCTTTAGCTCTATTAAAAAAAAAACCATATATTTTCTGTGTAAAAAAAAAAACCCATATATTTTCTTTTTTTTCTTGCATTTCTTTTTTAAGGTTTCAATTACAGGACCTCTTCGTACTCGTCCATATATAAATATATACATATATATATCATGAAATTTTAAAATTTTAAAATAAAATTTAAAAAAATCATGTATCTTTCCTATTATTCTTAATTTTTAATTTTTAAATGTATTTCAAACCATTTCACTGAAAATATATAGAATAATTATAAATATGGCAAGACCAGAAAACTGCAGGTCAAACTACGGCAATAGTCATTGTACTCTATCAAAATTTGAATTAACTTAGTCCATTTAATTCATACAAATATATTCTTCATACTATTTTCTGTTGATAATTTTAATTAAATTACTAATTCCGTTAAATTTTTATCATTAAAAATATTGATGTGACAGTTGACTTTATGGACTAATGTTGATTTTCTGACATGATAATTTTGATGGATAAAATCAGTTTTTAAATTATATAAATAGTTCATGTATTCAGACAAAATTTGAATTTTAGTTTCTCTATTATAATTCATAAAAATCTCGTTCTGGTATAAGTTAAATTTGATCATATTGATCTAATTACTAATGTTGTCAGTTACTCTTCCTTAATTTTGCTAACATGATCATTGATGTTGATTGGATGGCATTAACTTACTATCATGGTAACTTGGACCGATAAAATCAGTTTATTTTAATTAAGGCAACATTTTTTGGATGGATGAGATTAGCATTAAATAATATTAATATTAAAGACTTTGATAAAATAATATTTAGTAATATTAATTTAATTAATTATACTTTATTATTATATTAATTAAATACAATTAAATAATTACTTATTGATTAATTAGTATTAGTTAAATAATATTTAATAATATTATTATTAATTTAATTAATATTAATATCATAATAATTAAGAAATGTCATTAATTAAATTAATTAGTATTCAAATTAATTAAAT